CCCCCCATCCCCCCACCCAACCCTCCTCCCCTCCACCAAAGTTGTAAAGTTCGTTTTCGACATAATGACTTGTACGTCTCATTGTTGCAATGGGTCCACCTGTATCCCTATTTAAACGTTTTTTTTCCATTCCCCTCCACAAATTATACCAGCATCAAATACAGTGAAAACAGGGGTTATACCGTGGAGGAGGGACATACAAAGCAACAAAGAAATAATCTTATTAATGTATTAGAAACAATGGCATGAAAGAAACAACATTTGAATACTTACCTTGGGGTTCATTTCACTTAACATCAACTTATCTGAACTTCTCTGCTTGTCTCAGATATATTTGAGTTATTGCAAATAAGGAAAACCATGGGACCTATGTTTCTTTCAACCTGGCTTACTTCACTTAATATAAGTTTTTCCAAGTCTTCCCATTTCCTAACAAATGGGGCAATGTCATTCTTTCTGATGAAGGCATAGAATTCCTTTGTGTATATATACCCCATTTTCTTGATCCATTAATCTACTGAGGGGCATCTGGGTTGGTTCCATATCTTAGCTGTATTGTTGGTAGGAGTGTAAAATTGTTCATCTACTTTAGAAAGCAGTATGGAGGTTCCTCAAAAGACTCTACATTCAGCTCCCCTATGACCTAGCAATCCCACTTTTGGGCATTTACCCAAATGATCACAAACTATTCAATTTATTAACTAATTTTTATTCATTCAAGTTTACTTGTTATGTTCCTTTAATTAGAATTATTTTAAGAAAATAATACTTCTTTCTCCAAATTTTATTTGAACTTTCTTGTTGCTTCATATGTTCCTGAATTCTTTGTTAGGGTGTTTATAATTGCTAAATCAATATTTATATTTATTATTAGTTTTTGCTGAATTTGTTTTTTCTTCAATCTTAATAGGTTGTTGTATGCTTCTCAACATTTATTTATTTTGTTTTTTTTTAATTTCTTATCAGGTAATTGTTATTCTTATTCCTGTGATCAGGTTAATTCTTTGCATCAGTTTTAATGTCTCATTTTCTAATTTTATTTATGCAAATTGAAATCCTATTAAGGTTATCCTATAACAGATTTATATTTCTAATTTTATAAATATGAAGTGATTCAGTATGATATTAAGGGAAAACACAAATTGTTGCTCAATTAAAATAGGTCTTCTCAAGTTAATCTCTATCCTTCCAAAATGTTGCCCATTTCTGCTTCATTGTGTACTTTCTTTTTAATGATATTCCATCTATTAGTAATAATAAGCTAGTTACACAGGACTTCAACTCTTTGCCTCTGAGTGGGTATTAGCAGCCAGATGTAGCTGAACATGTTTCATTTTTTTTAATTGTGCTACCAATAAATCATATGAAAATCCTCTCTCTCTATCTCTTTGGTAGTTATTTTCTGCTTATCACATACACAGCGAAACTCTCAATATTTTTGTAAATTATCTAGAGTTTCTGTAAATCAACTCTCTTTATTATCAGTAAGTTATTTTAAGTTTACATGAATTGAGAGGCTGTTAGAATTTTTGGTTAATAAAATAAAATACAATTAATAAATCTACTAAGTACATTGAAATTATGGTTTTTGATGCTTATTTTTCATTGTAATTAATTTGACCTCTATATAATTGTTTTGTTCTGATTTCCGATTTTATAATTTCTCAGGCTAATATGTTTTGAATATTTTTTCTGTATAGTTTTATATTTGCCATATAATCTTTTAAGACTGTTATCAGAAATTCATAGATGTTTTTAGCATATATTTTAGTGAACTGATGACAGCTTATCTTTAATTATCTTAAAATTTTGAACACTTTAACCCACCGTATTTCTTTTTATAAATTTAAGAATTAACTTATTTTAGATGGGTACCCATTCATAGCTTTGTAGTCACAGTAAAACTTAATGTTTTTCTTAGTACGTGTGTGTGTGTGTGTGTGTGTGTGTGTGTGTGTGTGCGGGCGTGTGTGTGTGTGCTGGTCCTAGGGCCTGGACACTGTCCCAGAGATGTTTTGCTCAAGGCTGGTGCTCTAAGATTTGAACTACAGCTCCATTTTTAGCTTTTTAGTAGTTAATTGGAGATGATAGTGTAAAAGACTTTCTTGCAGGGGCTGGCTTTAGACCTCGATCCTTAGATCGCAGCCTCCAGCCTCCTGTGTATCTAAGATGACAGGTGAGAGCTACCAGTGCCTAGCATGCTTATTACTTGGAAATACTGGGGTTAAAAGTATTTTGTGCACTTTCATTGCAATATTATAGTATCTTGTATCTGTATATTAATTTTACCTGTAATATTTGCAATTGTATATGTTGGTGATTTGTTGTTTAGTGTCCTTTAGTATCCACTTGGACAACATCATTCAACTTCTCCTGGAAAATCATGTTTAATGAGCCAGATGATTTGGTCAATGGGAAAGAATTGGTAATGGAGTCTGTCGCTTGGTAAGTCACACTTGGTTTTCCTTGACAAATTTTCTCTGCAGTCATAACTTTCTTATTTTGTGATATCCTTTTTTATATGTGTTTCCTTTTGAGAGATATAGATCCTGAAAGTAGCAGTTTGTTTTCTTCCAATATATTCTTCCTAATTGATCTAGGTTTCAGCTGTCTTGGTGCAAGAATCAAAGGTTTAGGAGGCTATAAAGGAATATATTATCTTACTTTTAATCTAGAATGTATATATTTTATCAAATCATTGATTTTCCAGATAATTTCTAAGAGGAATTAGGCACATATTAATCAATTTAATTTTCCTCAAGGCAACAAAACTACTGGGCTGGAAAATTTTAAGGAAACCGAGTAACAGTGACTAACATCTCCAATGGTCTTAGAGTGTTCCACTTCTTTGGCACTTGTGTGTTTATCACTTACAGTGGGGAAAAACGTACAAGATAGATACACGAAGGCCAGTTGTACAGATAAACAGCATCAAAAAAGTGCTCAGACTCATTTCTTTTAATGATTTGATTCTTCTCTATGCTTCTGTTTTCCAGAAAAATCAGCATTTTTTCAGAGCATGGCCAATGTCAGCATGGTGACTGAGTTTCTCCTGGAGGGCTTTGCTGAGGTGTGGGAGCTCAGACTCCTGCTCTCTATGTTGTTCCTGATGATGTACTTGGCCACCCTGTTAGGGAATCTGATCATCATCACTGTTACCACCATTGACCAGAACCTGCACACACCCATGTACTTCTTCCTCAGAAATCTGTCCATTGTGGACATGTGCTACATTTCTGTCACTGTCCCCAGTGCCTGTATCAATTCTCTCACTGACAACAGGGCCATCTCTGTGGCTGGCTGTGCAACTCAGATTTTTCTGGTTCTTTATTTTGCATACGTAGAAACTATGTTCCTCACTATCATGGCCCAGGACCGCTATGTGGCCATTTGCCGGCCTCTTCACTACCCTGTCATCATGAACCAACAGTTCTGTGTCCAGGCCACACTGATTTTCCTGCTCAGTGGTCTCCCATATTCAGCTCTTCACACTGGCAACACATTCCGGCTGTCGTTCTGTCATTCCAACGCTGTCCCTCAGTTCTTCTGTGATATCCCTTCTCTATTAAGGCTGTCCTGCTCAGACACCTGGAGCAACAAAGTTTTGATCTTTCTTTCTGCCGTGATCATAGCTGGTGGATGCTTTACCTTAATTGTCATGTCATATGTACGCGTATTTTCTACTGTCCTGAAGTTCCCAGTAAAGGAAGAGCGAGGAAAGGCCTTTTCCACCTGTGTCCCCCACATTCTTGTGTTATCTGTGTTTCTTAGCTCTGGTACCTACGTGTACCTAAAACCTCCAGTAATCTCTAAAGTAGTCCAGGACATTATTGTTTCTATGTTCTATACAATTGTCCCTCCATTCTTGAATCCTATCATTTATAGTCTTAGAAATAAGCAGATAAAACAGGCAGTGGGGAAAGTAATATTAGGAAAGTTTCATTCAAGAGTATGATAAGGATTTGCTGTGGATTTATTATGATATATCACTAAGGGTTTAATTTTAAAATAATTCACCCTTGGGTTCAGTGTATCATATCACATTGAGTAATCCAGTTTTAAAATTTATTAACAAGGTTTATTTTGTAGTGAGCATTCAAACATATAATGTTTTTGTAATTCCCCCTCTCTTCTCCCATTTATATATATCTATATATATCTATATCTATATCTATATATGACATAGTATGATTAGGGTCACCCCTGTTACCCTCTCCTTTCTTCTTCTATTCTACTGGTTTCTTCAAACTCTTTTACGTACAAGTCATTATTTTTGCTTTGTTTTCTTTTGTTTGCTTTGGTTTTATGTTGTTTTAGGTCTAAATTTCACATGTAATGGAAAATGTGACATTTCTCCATCTGATGATATCAAATTTCACTGAATATGAAAATCTCTAGATTCATTGTTTTGTCTGAAAGCAGTATATTCTCATCCTTTCTGTCTAAATGATAGCTACTTCACTTTGTATATATTACATATTTTCAATCCATCTATCTGTAATATGTTCCTAATGTGGCACTTGTGAATAATACTGCAATAAATATTGCTATGCAAGCATCTCTGTTGGATACAATTCCACTTCTTCAGATAAGTGCCCAGGAGTGATATGGTAGAGTTAGAACATAGTTGTTTTTTTAATTTATTGAATAACTTCCACACTGATTTCAATAGTAATACTGAGAATGCATAAAGAGCTCAAAGTAGTAATCTTAACTATTTTGCAACAGCCTTATCATTTAGCATCTAATAAGTGAGTAAATACTTACAAGCAATAATATTTTATTATGAATAATATGGAGTATATTCTATGAAATTGATACAAATATCAATTATATTATAAATTAGAGAAATTAGCATTTTCCTCCCTTCAAGCATACATGTTTTTAAAATCCTGATTGTTTTTGTAGAATAAAAATAGTTTAAAAAACACATTGCCTTAATATTGCTAAAATGTATAATAAGTATGTGCATCATTCATTTGCATTTGGTTGTTGTGATATTAACTTACAGTACCTGAGGAACACATTATTTGATTTATTCAAGTCAATGTGAAGCAGTTATGCATATAATATTAATCTCATATAAAAATACTCTTGTAGACAAAACAGATACTAAGAGAGTAATCTAAGTGAAATGAACCCCAGATATGGACAAAATTTTTTTCCTTTCTTGCTATTGTTTCTAATGCATTTATAATGTACCATGTGATATTTGTTCCTTTGTATGTTTCTCCCTCCATGGTATAACCCCTATTTTCACTGTATTTGATGTCGGCGCCCTGCATCTTGTATATATACTTCTCTAATTTGTGGAGGGGAAGGGAAAACACAAAATGCTTAAATAGGGATACAGGTCGACCCATTGTAACCATGAAATGCATAAAACACTATGTTGAAAACAAACTTTACAACTTTGGTGGGGGGGGTAGTTGTGAAGGTGGGAGGGAAGGGATGGTAGGGGAAAAACAAAGAAGGAGGCAACAATGCTCAATAGGAAATGTACTGATTACCTTGCTAATGTAACTTTAACCCTTCTGTACAGTATATTTACAATAAAAAACATACAAAAATCAACACTAAAACAAGAAATTCAAGTAAAAATTTGATTTGCTATCAGTTTTATGTAAAAATAAAATTATAAATCCTTAAAGGATTAGCGACATAACTTAGTTGGAGAAAACTTGTCTAGTATTGTTGAAAAGTAAAGAAAGATGAGTGTCACTGTGATGTTAATATTATAGATCATCTCCAATTAAATGCTATGTATAAACAATATAACTTGGACTTTTAACCAGCCCTGTGTTGAAAAAAATCCCCTGAAAAATGTGAGTAGTATAAAATACAAATTTCCTGGATTTCCAGAGCCCCCATAGGAGGGAGTTCTCAGTAGGAATAATAGACTGGAAATAGTAAATGGAAATAAAACAACTGAAGGAGACACCCATCTTGCCAATAGGCCTTACCAGCCATTGATCAACTGACGTTTGTATAAAAACCTACCAATGCTAGCGAATTACAAAACGTAACTCTTTGGCTGGAGGTGGAGGGGATAGGGGTGTGTGTGTGGGAGATGGGAAGAGATGGGAAGGAGAAACAAAGGAGGAGGCAGCAATGCTTGATAAGAAATGTGCTCATTACCTTGCCCATGTAATTGTAACCCCTCTGTACGGTATTTTCACAATTAAAAAAAAAAGCTCCAATGCGTAATAGAGACAAGCCCTACCTTACACAGATTAGAGCATGTGGTATATGAAATGGAAGTGTGCATGTCTAGAACTTGTTTGAAAGCTGCACAGTAAACATAGTAAGAAAATACCTCCTAAATAAAACCCAGGGTCATGACCTTGAGGATTACTCTTCTGTATTTCCTGAAACTGTACACAATATTTTTAATAGTCTAAAACAAACCAAAAATAAAGGATACTAATTAAAATGGTGTATTAATTTACAGGAATTTTCCCTCTTTCAAGTTGCATGGTGGTTGCTAATTTCTATCAGTATGTATATATACATTCATCTGATCTCCAACTTTTTGTAGCAGTTATGTTTGTGAGCATACACACATGTGTTTGTATTTCTGTGTGTTGGTAAATGTAAGATTTATTGTACATACTAGATTCATCATAGAATTTATAGTCTATAATGGGAGATTGTTCACATTAGTTTATTATGCAGGAACAGCCATGGGTGTATTTACACAGTCAAACTTTTGCTGTTTACGTTTGAATGAAATGCAATGATACTTATTCTTAGCTTTTCTGGAGCTGTGTTAATCAATATATAAATTTTAGGGAAAGAAAAATTTATATAGTCTATTTTAGAAGTTTATCTAAAGAGAGCCATTTAAAGCTGTTGTATATAATAGTCTTCAGAAAGCCCTTGTATAATAAAAAGACATATTTTATGCTGAGGTTTGCAAATATAACATACTTCCAAAATGTCCTGCTACATTATTAAGTCATGTCTGAAGATTTTATAAGAGTAGACATTATTTACCTCCTACTCTCATAAATTCTTCTCAGGAAAAAACAAGGCATAACCTCATAAACCATCTTCAACATGAGAGATAGTTACTATCTCCTAAAAAATAATTTCAAATGAACTTTCTATAAATAAATCTATGCAAAAGAAACTGTATTTGATTTTGGTACTCTGGTATTGTGCATACGTTTATCTGAATTAAGGAAGGAAAGGGGAACAACAGAATGGTAAGACAAAGGACAAGGGGGTCCCAATGCAGTAGTGATATTCACAAGACAGTTTGGTGGAAATGATCTGTACAACTTGGGGGGAGGGTAATTGGTGGGAGGAAAAGTAGGAGAAAAAAATGAAGGAAGGAATAACAAGTTTAGAAAGAAATCTATTATTGTCTTGCTTATGTAACTGTATCCCCTCTGTACATCACCTAAACAATTAAAAAATCACTAGAAAAAAAGGGAAAGAAAGCACTTTGGACGGTCATGAGGTGTCAAGTAGAGGAAGCACATGAGCGTCAACCTCGAATACATGGTGACTGCAGGGCTGTTTATGTCATCTCTCCTGCCAGCCATTATGTAAACTGAGAGGTTTGAGGAGAAAAGAATCAGATTCCTGTTGAACTTTTCTATAAAATACTAAATTAGTCATAAGAATTGATGACAACAAATTTAAGCAATAGAATGAGGCTTTTTATTCACTCAGAAACATAGACTTTACATTCTTAATCTTTTCTATTGTTGTGTCTGTCCATCTCTTGAACCTATTACCTGAGTACTAAACCTGAGCTTTTTGGCTCACATGAGTGATCTACCACGTTATCCACAGTTATACTTTGTCTTTTAGGTAATTAGTTGGAGATACAACTCTCATGGACCAGGTTGGCTTCTAATCAACAATCTCAGATCTCATCCTCCTGGGTAGCTAGGATTACAGGAGTGTGCTACTGGCACCTGGATTTTCCTTACATTTTGTGTTACACAAATTATGCTGAACCTGGTATATTTAAATTATGATTTTACTATTTACTACTTGTTTCTAAGAGTGTATATACAGTTTTTAACTTTGGCTGAGTATTATTTTCATCAGCTATACTGGACATTGAAAAAAACAAATTAAGCAACTCAAAGGCAGAAATGGGAGGGAGGAAATGAGAGGGATAGAGGAAAGAGTGATCACTAAGCAAAAGGAAAAAAAAAACATACATACCACTTGATGTGGAAGAAATAGCTGCATTGTCAAAGCTTATAAAATTCATAGACTTTATAAACCATGATAATGACAATTGGCCTCATGAAGTTAACCTTCATAGGTTTGTGACTTTAAGTATCATTATCTCATAGTACTGTGAAATTTGTAATCATGTAATCACGATAAAATTTATTAAATATTTTCTCAATATTGAAGAAACTATCTTTAAAATGACTTTTGTTATATCCCTGATATTTTAATAATGTTTCTGTTGACTTTAATTGCAAGAAAATTTTTTCAGTAATATTTTATATTATACATTAAGTTTTTAGTTGGAAAGGCAGATATTTTAGTGACAACTTTTCTACACATGATTAGAACAAAAGGAAAAACATTTAGATCACAAGTACACAGATAACATAATTTATTATAATAAAAACAAAAGCTACACACACACACACACATCTATTGTTATTGTAAAGATGTTATACGGAGGAGTTACAGTTATATAACTCAGTGAATTCATTTGTATTTCAAGATCTGTCATTTTTTCAGAAAAATAATATAAATTATTTATTGGAAGAAAGTAAGAAATATTAACTGTAAGAAAGCAAGAATGTTAACTGTAGCCTGCCAAAATGCTTCAGTTCCTTAAAAATACTAGGACATTTATCAGAGTGTAGTTAAAAAAATATAAGCAAACTCAGCCATGTAGCACAGAAGACCTTCAGTTAGCATTCAAAATAGAGACAAACCTCACACTTTTGTTAATTCTTTGCTTTTGGAAAAAATGAATTTTATATCCAGGCACAGGTGGCTCATGCCTGTAATCCTAGCTTCTCAGGTGGCTGAGCTCTGAGAATCATGGTTGAAAGACAGCACAGGCAAGAAAGTCCATGGGATTCAACTTCAATGAATCCCCAGAAAAACAGAAGTGTCTCTGTGGCTCAGTGTGGTAGGTCATTAGCCTTGAGTGAAAAAGTTCAGTGATAATGCCTACGCTGTGAGTCCTATGACCAAAAAAGAAAATGTTTTCACAATGGAAAATATATTTTAGATTTAATTTCTTTTAGAGTTATTATTTCACTTTGGAAAACACTTAATTGAAGTTTGATAGCATTTTACATGGAATTGAATAGATCAGGAAATGTGGCCTTAGTAATTATTTTCTATTTGATTTTTCAAGGTTGTTTTTGATATATGTTTATTAAATTTTAATGAAATTTTATACATATTCAATGTGAATTATTTACAACCAATATTAATAAATGTTAACGTTTGAAAATGATTTTGTTTACATGTAACAAACCATTAAATAATTAAAATAATTATTAATAAAAATTTCTTTAAAAAAAATTAAATAATAAATTAAAATAATGATGAAAAAAGTGTAAGATATTCTCTTCAACTCTATTGGACTAGCTTTGACATAAGCAGAACAATATCCATTATCCTCCCAAATACTTTTACTTCTATTTTAAATGCCACTCAGAGGATCTGAGAATAAATTCATATTAGGTATTACTGTTTTTTGAATAAATATTTTACTAATACTTTCCTCACAGCTTTCTTTATCTGTTTGTTCCTAAGACTATAAATGATAGGATTCAAGAATGGTGGAACAATGGTATAAAATACAGATAGAATCACGTCCTGAATCACTTCGGTGTTCCTTGAGGGTCTTAGGTATACCACCAAACCACTACCAAGAAACACTGAAACTACAAGAAAATGAGGCACACAGGTGGAAAAGGCCTTCCCTCCTCGCTCTTCTTTGACTGGAAACTTCAGCACTGTTATAAATATGCGAGCATATGACAGGACAATGAAGATAAAGCAACCACCAACAAATCCTACAGCAGACAAAAGAAGTAAAAGTTCACTGCTAAAAGTGTCTGAGCAGGAGAGTTTTAGCAGAGAGGGGATGTCACAGAAGAACTTACTGACCACGTTGGACCGGCAGAAGGACAGCCGGAATGTATTACCAGTTTGTACAGCTGTAAAGATGACACCACTGAATAGGGACGCCATTGTAGACTGGACACAGAACTGGTGGTTCATGATGACAGTGTAGTGGAGGGGCTGGCAGATGGCCACATAGCGGTCCTGGGCCATGATGGTGAGAAACATCAGCTCCACAGATGCACAAAAAAATACAAAAAATACCTGCATTGCACAGCCAGCTACAGAAATAGTCCTGTTGTTTGTGAGGGAGTTGATACATGCATTGGGGACAGTGACAGAAATGTAGCACATATCCAGGATAGATAAATTCCTGAGGAAGAAGTACATGGGTGTGTGCAGGTTCTGGTCAACGGTGGTGACAGTGATTATAATAAAATTCCCCAACAGGGTGGCCAGGTAAATCAGTAGGAACACTATGGAAAGCAGGACTCTGAGCTCCCACACCTCAGCAAAGCCCTTCAGGAGAAACTTACTCACTGTGCTGAAATTGGCCATGCTCTTAGAATGCACATTCATCTGGAAATAAAACAAAGGAGAGTCAAATTATTGATAAAGGCAATTTTAAGCCAGCCACTAGTGGCGCATTGTTGTACTCTGATCTACTTAGCAGCCTGAAATCTGAAGATCACAGTTGGAAGCTAGACAAGCCATGGAAGTCTATGAGACTCTTATCTCCAATTGATCACAAAAATCCAGAAGCATAGCTGTGGCTTCATGATAAAGCACTGACCTTGAGCATGAAATCTAAGGGACAACATCCAGGCCATGAGTTCAAACCTTAGGACCAGCATATATGCACTCACATACAGGTAGATACAAGGAGATTTTTTGTGGGGGGGTTCTGGTCGTGGGGTTGAACTCTGGGCCTGGGCACTGTCTCTCAGCTCTTTAGCTCAAGGCTAGCGCTCTACCACTTGAGCAACAGTGCCACTTCTGGCTTTTTTTTCTGCTTATGTAGTGCTGAGGAATGGAACCCAGGGCCTCATGCATGCAAGGCAAGCACTCTACCACTGAGCCACCTTCCCAGCCCACAAAGAGATTCTAAACCACATCTTTGATGGTACTTACAAGTGTTTGATTTTACAAATCTCTTTGTATATAAAAATCTCACTTTTTGTTACACTGATTTACCTAGAAATTTTGCACCATAATTATATTAGATGTAATATGCAAAGGAATAAGAAGGTTAGAACAGTGCTGACCAGTGATATATTTACCTTTTATAAAGCAAGATTATGTTGTTTCTTCAGTAATACACAGGTCATAAGTTGTAAAAGGACATTTAATTTGATTTATTTAAGCCAGTTCCAATTATACATTGAATTATCTGAAACAGGAATACTTAGAGAATATTGCAAATCAGAAGATATAAAAATATAACTATCTGGGAATCTTTGTTCATGTACAATTCAATGTTTATATGCTTATACCTTTTATAAATTTCATTCATGTACAACTCAATGTTTATATGCTTATACTTTTTATTTTTATTTTGTCTCAAAATTGAAAAAAATAGTAACACAAAACCATATCAATTAGTGTTTCATTAAATAACTGAATTCTAGATTCAAGGCCAGTTGACACCTAAAGCCATACCTCACACTGCTCCTCCTGACTGTTGTTAAGCTTTACTAGACTGACTGATACATCTGGTCCAGGTTAATGCTCTTAAACCTCTGTGTCGTTTCCTTTACCTGTGACACATAGATCAGTATATGGCCATGTGTTGCTGTTGACTGATTTATAATTGTGATTACGTTCCTGGAACTTTGTACATGTGTAACCTGGATGTATTCATTTATCTTATGAATTCAAAGATGTTTCTACATAATTGTCTGCTCTGGAGAATTGAATTTTTAGATATTGAGTATTTTTTTAACTTTTAATGTCCCTTCTATTCAAGGACACCCTGAGACATTTACAGAGAAAGCATCTATAGTAGAATATGATAGTTCATTTGATGATTTTCTGAAGGTGATGCTATATCTTGCTAGCTCCCTAATGGCATACTAATATTACTTATTTTCAAAACCCTGTGCATCATGGGGGTGGGGAGGTGTGGTGTGGTAGGGGGGTATGCAGGTGGGGGGTGGAGAGTGGAAGGGATGGTAGGGGAAACAAAGGAGGAGGCAACAATGCTTGATAAGAAATGTACTCACTTATTTGCAATATCTAGTATATGTATGAGTCAAGGAGAAATGGTCAGATAATGTGATATTAGGAAAATGAACCCTTAGATATGTATTTAAATGCTTTTTTTTCTTTCATGCATTTGTTTCTAAGGTATTTATAAGATTATTTCTTTGTTGCTTTGTATGTCCCTCCCCCACAGTATAACCCCTGCTTTCTCTATATTTGATGTCAGTATAATTTGTGGAGGAGATGGGGAAAAACAAGTCGTTTAAGGCTACAGGTGGACCCGTTGCAACAATGAGAAGTACAAGTTGTCATGTTGAAAACGAACTTTACAACTTTGGTGCTGGTGGGGGGAGGATTGGGTGGGGGGGTGGAGGGGTGCTGGGAAGGGATGTGAAGGGTAAACAAAGGAGGAGGCTGCAATGCTTGATAAGAAATGTACTCACTATCTTGTCCATGTAATTGTAACCTCTCTGTATGGCATTTTCACAATTAAAAAAACAACCTGTGGCCTTCTACTGTTACATTGTTTTAAACATAAATGGACAAGCAAGCAGAGCAAATCTGTGTAGCATCCAAAAGCACCTGTGGAATTACAATTCCTTAACCAAGTGCCCTTGAAGCACTAATATATTAAAAATGTTGGAGAACGCCATGCCTCCGTAATTGGGTTTGGGTCAGTCTTAAATATCTGCTCTTGGATTAATAAGGTCTATTAATGAGATCTCCTTTAAATCTACCATACTTCAGATAATACGTTTTTATGCATTTAAATACCTCCCAATGTATTTTCTTGTATGTTTACAAACAAATCCTAACTTATTTGAGGGAAAACCTGAAACTGTAGTCTGTCTGTGCTTGGTTTTAATGCACGATTTTAAGTTGACATGATGAATATAGAAAGAAAAGATAGAATTACATGCAGATAAAAGATATATATATATGTATAAAATTATGAAATCAAATTTACTATTGAAGATATATTATTTGAGTAAATGCCTACATGACAGAATCAAGATTTTAAATGAGCAACTCAAATTGATACCTAAAGGAAAAGAAAGCAATAAAAATTTACATCCAATATTAAGATTTATGATGAAATAATAATAACTATGTCAAAATTTACATTTAAGAAGAGAAACCATAGAAATACTAAAAGTTTGGTCTGCAGATATAAGAAAATTTGTCAAAATCTTAGACATACTGAATATAAAGACATAATTCATAGTTAACCTGAATAATATTTATTGTTAATATATATGATTTAAAAAGAAAATAGTACAACTCTTGCCAAAGAAATTGCTAGTAGAAATACTAGAGTCATAATAACCTGAGATGAACAATTTCAGGCTAATAAAATCAATATGTAGAATGAAGATGTTATTAGAACTATATCAGTTATTAAACTCAATTATAAAATTTAGGAATTAAAAACAGACTAATAATAAATCACTTAGATGGGATCTAAAAAATTTTAACACTAAGAATATCCTTGGATCACATTGTTTTATGTGTAAATTCCAAAAAAATATAGAAATAATTAATACTAGTACAAATTATTCAATGAAACAAATATAAAATAATACTAACAATTGGTTTTAGTGACATTAACAGCATATAAATGCCAAGGTTAGGTCACAATACCACAACAAAATAAAACACAGCCCAGGTTCTTTTAAAAACATGGATACAAACATTCTAAACAGTCTTTTAGGTTCTGAAGAGTTACACCATTGGAATCCTCCACTGAATACACTATGAGTTAATATGTTTATTATATGTTCATGTGACCCCAGTTTTTTGCATATGTATTTGTAATTCAGATCTAACTTCCACACTTGTGAAAAAACATGCATTTTTGGACTTTATGAGCATGGCTTAACTTTTCCAGGTCCATCTATTTCTTTGCAAATGACAATGTATCTATCTGTCTGTCTGTTTGTCTATCTATCAATAACAAATTCTTGATCAATTCTTCCATCCAAGAGAGTCTAGGCATTCCCAGGAGACAAGTGAATGGAGAGGAAGAGGAAGGGTGGAAGAAAGCAGTATTACTATTCAATGAACATATGAGAAAATGGAACTAAGTAAAATGAGGTTGGGAGAGATA